TCGCTTTCATCTTTACTTTTATTTAAGTTAAAGGACTTGCGAATTGTTTTGAGACTAATTTTCTTCATTATGACAAGTTACCAAGTCTGGCTGATCAGCAGTGCTTGTGGTGATATAGCCCTAACACATGCAGAGCAGCTTCTGCTTCATTTATGTGTTTTATCCAGCCTCATTTAACTTCAAGAGCCATTTCCTGGAAACAAATAAAAAACAATTAACTTCACAAAAGAAATATTTTAAAAATTATCCATAAGGATTTCCCCCTCTCCAAACAAAACAGAAATTGTAGTACTTGAGTAACGGGCATCAAATGAAAGTAAATAGAGAGAGCTGATTTGGAAACCAATCAGGCACAAAAAATGAATCTGCTACATCTGCCTTTGATATTTCCACAACTTTTTTCTGCTTTTAGCATGCTATTTTTTAAATATACACATACATTACATCACACTCATAGGCATACATATTTAGTTCATGTATATAAAATTTTCAAGCACAGAAACACCCCCCTCTTTCAGAAGGCTCCTAAAAAATCCCCACAACAATAACTACAGAAGATAAAACTATAGAAGATACTCTGACAGGATTCCTACATACAGGTTAAACTGTCCTAAAAACATGGTCTTACAAGGTCATAGTTTCTTTACACAGGAAAGTTGAGCAATATTCAAATAGTTACATAATTACAGGGAAACTAATCAAAAAATAGAAGTTAGCAGCAAAGCAACATCTGTTTAGAGCAAACTAAAGAGGTCCCCTCCTGAACTCTGAAAGAAAAGTGATTTCTAAACTCTGTTTTAGGTATAGAGGAAGTCACATCACAGGCTCTCTTTGCCTAATGCTATCAGAGCTTTTTTTCCTCCACTACTTCTGCCAAGACTAAGTCAACACATCTGCTCAAGACCCACTCAACTCCTCCCACTTGGCATCTTCCAGAGTCATGTAGCCACCCCCTCCATAAATCTGACTTTTCAGCTTTTTGTTTTGTTTAGGGTTTTTTGGGGGGTTGGTTTTTTTTAATTTTTAATGTCAGTTAGACCTTCCAAAGCAAGCAGCTCTACAGAAAGGGGAAGAACCAGAGGGGGGCTCCAGGCCAACCATAGCAAGCTGGAGGAGTCTAAGAATCTTTCAAGAAATCTTCCAAGTTTAGGAGACTGAGGGGAAAGTAAAACAGCCCTTATGTATGCACTTCCCACTTTTCTCCCATGGTTTCACAATACAAGCAACTGATAAAAATAGTACAATGAACTGAAATAAGTTTTATCAACTAAACAATATGATTTTCTTAAATAACCATTCAAAAAAAGCATAAAAGCATGTAAAGAGAATGACTACTATAATCAAACAGTGGTCAACTGACTAGTACTCTTGTCCAGGCCAACTTTTGTGGTCCTCAAGTACACAAAGACTAAAGGATCTTACCCAAAGCAAACTAAAAGACAATGCAAGGCATCTAAGCTTTCCAAACTTCAAAATACCTTGAAAATTTTTAAGCAAAGCTCTGCTGCCAGGGGGTTGAACACTGTCCCTCATAAACAGCAGAAGCACTAAAGTTTGATTTACGTGGATTTGTACTCTAGACCTATCTTCAAATTTTCTACACTATCTGCATCACCCTACCTTGAAGACCTGTTCTGTCTTTGCCATAACCTCCATCATTTCCCAGGTCCATCTTTAGAATATCTTCAGTTCTTCCCATGTCCCCTTCTTAATTACCAAACAGCACTTTCCTTTCTGTCAATGGGGAGAAACTAAAAGGTTTCTCTTCAGCCTATAAACTGATTTACTTGCCATCAGCAAAGAACAAACATACCAAAAAACCTTGTTTCCTAAACAAACAAACAAAAGACTAAGGACCAACTCTTGCTATGAATGAATATTAAAACCTTGAAAAACAGGACCAGTATTTTATTAGAAGTTCACTACTTATTTTCCACTTTTAACATAACTTAAGGAGTCCTGACACCTTAAAAAACATATTCCACTTAACACAATTTGAAGATGATACTGAGATATGCATTTTCAAGGGTTAAGACACTACTTTTATTTTCCTTTTCTTATGACAGAAACATGCAAAACCATAAAATTTCATGTTTTAAAATACTGATATTTAGTATGAGCTCCGTATGTTTGGAATAGTTGGAAAATATGTAAGTACTGAAAACCAAACATGAGTAGAATATATTTAGTTCATTTTATAGGTCTGAAATCTGGTATATCAGAATAACTGACAAAGTACAGTAATTAAGAAAAAGCTAGATACAGATAAAGGGAGAGTAACATGTCAATTAAAAGTAGACTTAAAATGCCTTGTTGATCTTCTATTCCTAAACTATTTGGATTTTGGCATCTTACCAATTTACAGCAATCTTTTCATCATATGTATCTAAATGAACCTTCAAAATGAGTGAAAAACATAACTTCAGGATTCTATGCTGCTCCTTAACTGACAAAGTCAGTGTTTGCTCATTTGATAAATTTAACTGTGCCTTTGTGTACATAGTACCAGAAGCCTGGGAACCCTTACATTAGCCCCTCTTGTGAAATCCACAATGTCCTCCAACTGCTTCTGACATCCACAAGCTGATACTATTTCCGCTTTACCAGATACATTTCCCCATCCTTGTGGCAAGTACATCACACTGTTTGCAATTCCTAACCCTAAAAAAAAAGCAAGCATGAAATAAAATCTGCCTTCTAAACTAGGGAGAAAAATAAAGAACATTATCACACTGCTGACTGGGGAGAGAACATGTATAGAGCCCAAAACTGTCTGGTTCACCAACCTTTTAACTGGTGGGTTTAAAAGAATTAGTTACCTAAAAATTGACAGAATGAACTATGTTTCTTCAGCTTCTCCATAACTAAAAAACTAAACAACTCACTTGAAAGAACAGATTCTTATCACATACTAGTCTTTCAGTATCAAAATGTGGGGTTGTGGTTTTTTGGGTTTTTTTTACAAATGAAAATCCAAAATCTAAAAATAATCTCAACAGATAAATCTCTATGGCAGCATATAGAGAAGTCAAAATTTTGTGCTTTCAGAGTGATTACTAAGCCTGCTTCAGCAAAAAAGTGTTTTATATCTGTCAGACTACCTTAGTAGACAGTATCTTTATCAAGCAAAATGCATGATTGTCCAAATGTATGATTCATTACTTCTATCACTGTAACATTTCATATAAAGAAGCAATAAAGGTTTGAAGTTCAAATATAAACCACATAAAGAATATGCATACATCCAGAAGTCCAGCTCATTCATCCAGGAAAAGACAATAAAATCTAGTGAATGACAGTCCAGATCAAAGCTCCCTGAACACAACGCACAGATTAAAGCAAGCCTCTAAACAAGTCTTCCATATAAGAATCACTCTACTTTATGATATCTCTTACACATATTTTATCCATGACAGGAGAAAGCAAATATACCTTGAAGTCAAATACCCTAATTGATCCAGATAGTCTTCCTCCTTTGCACATACTTTAAAAATACCAGTAATTCTGGATTGCACATTAACATGTTTAAAAGCACTGTATAAACAGTCCTCAATAAAAGATACACTCATACACTTGTGAGTGTAGAATTTTCCACTGTCTACATCTAAAAGAGCTGAAACAGAAGAGCCCAGCATGCACCCCTTCCTGGAATACATTAAAATGAACTACTCAACTTCTTCACAATCCTCAGCACTGCAACAGCTTTGCTAGTATTTTGTACTAATTACAGCATCACTGAAGTCTCCCACTGATGTGCTCTTCCAGTGCCATCTGCTGTACAGCAAATTTAGACAGCCTAACTAGAGACACCTCTAGAAATTTTGCTGGCAGGTATTCGCAACTATAAACAGACTCTGAACTATGCCAATGTACTCCCAAAGCCTGGTGGCTATGTATGCAGAAATACCTGGAATGCACAGATTGAAAATGTGAGATTAGTCAGACCCAGAAAGAGAATGAGATGTTAACAGATAAAATAAAGAGTCAGAACGAAATTCTGACTTACAAACTTTCATCACAAATTCTGCATCTTGGAATCTTTAAAATTATGCAGGTTGACAAAACACAGGCCTCCTCACAAAAATTACCCGGACTACCAGACTACTCCCCAGCAAACACCATTAATCTCTTTGTGTTTATAAAAAAGAATCAAAACTGAATTTGCAAAACTAAATTTCTTCACCTCATTTTGAGGTGAAGAACAATATGTATTAATCACATGCAAATGTGAAATTATTAGTGAAGAGATTTAAAGCTAAAACTTTACAAGCCGCTTCTCAGAAATCAGAAAAGCAGGTCATGCAATCATATATTAATTGCTATTATGGTAGACAGCACTGATTTATGAAAAACTACAAAAGCTTTAAAAAGTTTCTGCAAATCTCTGCAGAATTTTCTGCAAAATTCTGTTTGAATATTCAACATTTCAGAGTAGTTTCAGTTTGATGCTACAAAATGGTTTCAGTGGACTATAATCACATAGCCATCTCAATGCAGTGTTCGCAAAAGTACACCAACAAGAAGTTTTATTATTTATATGGCCTTTATTTGTCGTGTCTTCCATCCCGTCCTATCCCCCCCCAACACACACACACACACACACTCTCTCTCTCTCTCTCTCTCTCTCTCTCTTTTGGGTTAGGTGCACTCATTTCCAGAGGCAATGACTATAAAGGATGTTGCCAGAACACACTACTCCAGAAATAAAACAGCATTTAAGAGTGAGGACAGAAACAATCATACTGGAAACAGAGCAAAATGTAATTCATGGCTGAACAAAGAATTAGTGTTTAAAAAATTCTAATAAAATCATGATCACAAAAATGGCTTGGAACTATTAATCAATGCTGCTTCAGATAACTTAGACTTTCCTAAAATAAATGTTAATCTGCTCATTTATTTCCACAAAGTGAAACCATGGAGCATTAAACTTTATTTTTTTCGAATCCACAGCTGCATTATTCCTGAGAAGTCTGGCTATCCATTAGAAATATATAATCTTTACTCTTATACTGAATCATAGTAAGACTTAAACCATTTACAACTTAAGCAGCTCTTGCTTTAGAAC